CGGAGTGATTAGTTTCGTAGACCTTGACATAAGACGCGCTTCTTTGTTCATGAAAATAAATTAGTGATTACACTAGCTTGATCGCGCCGTCAAAAACCGGGGAGCACATAATGTGCTGGGAATGAGCTGGGCATATGTTATCTTTTTGCCTGTGATGGTCACGTGATGTCATACGACATCGCGGTGTCATGTGACGTCATAATGTCACTGTTCTTCATGACGGTTTTCTCATAAAATTCGGCTGTAAAGCTCATTTTGAAAAAAAAAAAAGAAGAAAAGCCTTGTTTTTGTGTGCATTTTTATGGGGGAGGGCGGAAAATTTTTGTTTATTTTTTTTACCAAAAAGGGGGGCAGGGAAGTAGAGATTCACACAAATTTTCTAAATAATCAAATAAATAGAAAAAAGCGTGGCCTTACACTCTAAGAAATGCCTGCGGTCCTACTTACCCACAAAACATTCAAAGAGCCAATCTGTTCGATCTACGAAATGAGCTCGGCGAATGATGAGGCGGAACATCTGCTTAGACCTCAAAATGAAGTCTGCGCTGGGGCATTACGCAATGCAATCATGACGCTTTGCATTGCGTTAATGCCGAAGAGCAGACTTTCTTCTTAGGTGTAAACGGATGTTCCGCCTCATCATTCGCTCAGCTGATTCCGTAGATTGAAGAGATTGGCTCTTTGAATGTTTTGTGGGTAAGTAGGACGCGCAAGCATTTCTTAGATTGTAAGTTCGAGTGCATGCGCTTCCTAGCATACGAGGCTGTTTTAGCCTGATTGAAAACCAGAATCGGTTGACCAGCCTGGTAACATTGTTCACAAAAAAAAAGAAAAAAAAGAAGAGGTTACAAGGCCAGCGCGACATCGCTTTCTAAGGACCGACCATTGGCTACTACGTCGTCCATCCTCATCTGGAACCGTGTCGCCGGTGGTGTGGTGTGTCTATTGTTGACTCCGAGTCGGGGGACGGGGGGTCATTCGTAGGGGATAACCGGGTCGGACTGTCCGTCCAGCGCCCCTTTAGAAATCTTCCGCCCGCTTCTCCTTTCTAGCGACTGGAGGAACTGGTTAACGGCTCCGAAACACCGGCCGGCGTTTAGGCGACGTCGTCGCCTTTGTGGTTGTGGTTAGCGCGGATCGAGAGGCGGGTGTCCAGGCAGGCCGCTGCCGACCTCTGGGCGCCCGCTGCCGCCGCTGATGGTACTCGTTTTCGGATTCTGGAAGGAGGCGACCAAAAAGGGGTGCGGGGGCTTCCTGCCATTTCCACATCTTTAACCTTCACTCGACTTTCTCGGCTGTGTGCAAGGTTCTCGCCGCCGTTTCGGTCTTTTCATGTTTGTACACTGGCAAGGAAGCGGTGCTGTAGTTCTGAGAAACGCGGGATAGACGCTGTTCTGTGTAATCTACCGCGCTCGGGAGAGTCACGAACGCTTGACTTTGGATTTCATTTGACTACGTGCCGCCTCGGTGGCTCCGAGGCGAGAGCGCTGGCCTACGGATCCCCATGTGGCGGGTTCGAATCCCGGCCGAGGTGCCCGCAATCTGACGGAGGCTTATTGCGGAGGAGGCGCCGTGAAACCGAGCTTTCGCTTGCACGCCAAAAGATCCCCAGGTGGTCCAAATTAATCCTCAGTCCTCAGCTGAAGCGTGCCAGATGCCCGTCGTTGGTTTGGCACGTAAAACCCCCAAATTTGTTTGATTTGACTACGTGACTCCCATGCTGTGACTTGGCACTTCTGGTCCTTTATCAGTTGGCCTCGTTTGGTTCATTTGACGTGGCAGTGAGCTTTCTTATTTTTTAATTTATTTATTTTGGTGGTTGGCTAATGGCTATGTTTGTTTCGTGTTTATGAATTACGGAGATTGTGTTTGCGACGGAAAGAACGAGATATTACTTTATTTTCCGGACTGTAGTCCACACCCAGTGTATAGTCCGCAGAAGCAAATTTGGGGTAAAAAAATAAGTTTTTTTTTAGATAGTCCGTACCCAGTGCATAGTCCGTACCTGGTGCTTAGTTGGCACGAAAATATTCTCATGCACGGCACACCTAGACAAATGTCTGCTTTCTTAGCCCAAAACGTCTCGTCATAATGAGCGATTTTGGGGAAGAACATTCCTGAATAGTCCGCATGCGTAGGTAGTCCGTATGCGTAGGTAGTCCGCAGAGCCTAAAATTTCAACTTTTATACATGTACAGTCCGCGGACTATAGCCCGGAAAACACGGTAATAACGATATGCGCACACTATGGAATCGGTAACCCTCCTTCGTGTTGGTGTTCGCTCACTAATGACGGCCGGAGCGTGACCATGAACACTAAAAATCGTGGACTGATTCGCGACTCTGAAAATATTTTCTGTGCTCCGATGACGCCCTCGCGAACGGGAGTCAGACATCATATATGATAATGTTTTCTTTTTTCACGAAGAAAGAAAATTTGGTCAGACAAGGTTTTCTTAGTCACTAACGGCTTAAGAAACGCAGGGCGTGGCTTATCACGTTCACGCTTCCTGATTGGTCCCTCGACGTTAATAACGACTAATGCCGCAATTTCATTGGCTACCGAGCGATAATGAGATGCAATGAAATGGGGAGACCACGCCCTTCTGACTAGAACCGAAGTATTTGGGGTGCCTTTATTTCCCGTAGTTCAAAACAAAAACATTTTTTTTTTTTTTTAACACAGGGGATTTAAGCGACCGTGGAGTAGAAGCCTAATGCCGTACGCCGGGGTTCCGCGTTCCGAACGCGTTCGACGAGTGCAGTGGGGACAAAGGCAGCTGCTAGCTTTCCGTCTACCCCCTAATCCTTCCAACCAGGACTCGGCGCTTCGACGCGCCCCCGCGCTCTCCCGTTTCCTCCTGTTTTTCTGCCCGCATAGGTGACATTTTTCATGCGCTTTCAGGATGTCAGCTTCAGACCTCATTTTATAACGTAAAATCGTTTTCCTACAAAGTGTATGCAAATTTTTGTCGTTACTGGTGTAATTAATTCGACTGTTTTGCGAAGAACGTTTTATCGGGCACGCGCGCAGTGTTTTCGAGGATGCTTCGGAGCGTTCACAACGAAAGGAATATTAAAAGATCATTATGGCGGTACAGCAACCGACAAAAACTAGGAGTATTAGCGTCAGGTTTAGTAGGTGTTTCACGCTGCCGACAAGCGGGGATCTTTAAAAAAAAAAAAAAAAAACACAAATACAGTTGATTTAATGGCGAGAAACAGGAAAAAAAAAATGTTTGATTGTCAACCCACAACGTCAACCCGCCTCTTTGTACGTCCGCACAAAGACGACAAAGAGAAAAGGAAAAAAAAGTTAATTCATGCACAGAGACACATATCTAGACACTATCTATCTTTTGTCCTGTTCATGTTTCAGTCTAAAAACTCTACGCATATTTGAGAGCTAACAAACAAACAACAAAATGGATTTGCGCCACCAGGCTCTTCGCAGCCCGTTCAGAACCAGCAGTTAGCGGAGCTCAAGGCTGGGGGAATAAGACCTATTCCGGAAGAAAAATCGTGTTCATCCGGCTCCGCCGCAGAAAAGAGAAGGTCCGTGACACAGCGCGACGAGCCAGCATAGAAGACGAGCTCCTTCTACGACTGGCTCACAGACCACTACCCTCATCGTGATTTGAGAAAAGAAAAAAAAAAAAAAAAAAAACATACACAGAGTGCCAAAAAAACGTCGCGCTTTTTTAGCGAGGATCAAAACCTCGAGAAAAGCAGGCAAATGGTTAAAAACCAGTGCCCCAAAAGTAAATCCTGGAAAAGAGCAGAGATGGAAAACGAAATCGCGGTCGGAAGCGCTCGTAAGCGAGCGAACAGCAGCCAGTGAAAGTTTTTCCTCGGCGCGACCTTGCTCCACTTCCGCGTCCTACTAGCCCACACTACCCCCCCCCCCCCCCCCTCTCTCTCCTCCTCCTTGTTTTTCTCTCCCTCCTGGTCCCCCTCACTTTCATCTCTCCCCATCATCCGTCTATCCTCTCCCCAGGTCCGCCTCTCCTTTCCTACCTTCGTTCGCTCTCTTTCGTGCGGCGCGTCGCCGGATCGAGAGAGGAGGCACTGATAGGCGCTCGCTCATTGGCCGCCGCTTAGTAGGTCACCGAGCGCTTTTTCCTTTTTTCTTGCTTGTGCTTTTGCTTTCTGTTTCGCGCGCTCGCGCTTTTCGTTTTGTTTCTTTCTGCGTATGGCTTTTTCTTTGCTGGCTTTCTTTCTGCGTTTGGACGGCTCTTTTTCTTTCTCTCTTTGTTTCTTTCGGGTCGCTCGTTCTCTCGCCGGGGTCTGCCGCGCCGTCGGCGTGCCTCTCGCCGCCGCGTGCTACTTGTTGACTGCCGCGCTGCGTTCACTATCGTTCGCCGTCGCGGCTCGTGCGGCAGCGTGTCGCTCGACGTCCCAGCGCTCTTCTTAATTTTTCCCGCACCCCCCCTCCACCCACCGCCCGTTACGACTTCCCACTCCAAGTTCCCCTCTTCCGTCGTGCTCGTGGGATCGGCCCGACTCCGTCGTCCCTTCGATCCTCGTGCGCGCGCGGAGGCATCGCGCCTACGGAACACCCGAGTCTCGCGCTCGTGGCTCGTCGTCGTCGCCGGCGATCCATCCGTCCGTCCGTCGCCGTCCCACCCCCCGCGCTGTGCACGACGGCAACTGGAGTTTTCGTGCCGCGCGGCGGCGGCGGCGGCAGTGAGTGCTTGTGCCAAAGTGTGTTCTCCGTGTCCCGTGACACCGCCAACCTTACCGCGGATTTGCCGCGCGCTGGGTGCGCGCGGGAGCGCCGACACCATGCACGTCTTACCTGACGGCTGAGGATTCTGGTGTCTCCACGCGGGGCGGCGGCTGCCAGGATTTGCCGCTGGATTATTCCGTCGACTCTGTTGTTGTGTTCGTGCGCCTGAATCTTTCCAAGTGTGTTGTTGTGTGGCCGTGAAAGAAAGTGTTTGGCAAGATGATGTCCCCGTTCATGGACGGCTCCCCGTTCTACTTCTCGCCCCCACCAGGCGCGTCGGGCGGGCCCCCCGTGCTGAGCTCTTCGGCGGGGCCCCTCGTCCTCAGCTCGTCGGGGGGCCACGGAGATGGCGGTGGAGGTGTCTACCCGGACGCCCCGGACACCAAGGAGGGCATCGAGGAACTCTGCCCGGTGTGCGGGGACAAGGTGTCCGGCTACCACTACGGCCTGCTCACGTGCGAGTCGTGCAAGGGCTTCTTCAAGCGCACCGTGCAGAACAAGAAGGTGTACACCTGCGTGGCGGACCGGAGTTGCCACATCGACAAGTCGCAGAGGAAGCGATGTCCCTTCTGCCGCTTTCAGAAGTGCCTCGACGTCGGCATGAAGCTCGAAGGTGAGTGCTCTGTTTCGTTACTTGTTTTTGGCGTCCTCTCTATGGCTCGATGCTCTCTGTTCGCGCGTGAAACAAGACAGTCACGTCAAGTGTTAGCGCCGTGTCCCTTCTTTTTTTTGTCGCGAAGTCGTATGGAACTAGAAGCGGCGACATCGTGTTGGGACAGCGCAGGTGTTCAAACGCCGGAGGACAACGGTAAACATCGCGTAGCTACCGTGTCGGCGCCCTGTCCAGGTTTCATTTTCAAATAGTACTACCGGCTTCTTTCTCTTTTGTTCAAGACTAGCAGATGTCATCTCCGAGAAATTTAAAAGCAGGGTATTTAGCTTTTTCTGGGAGTATAAACGGTTTCTTTAGTAACCTTAGTGTTGAGTTCTAACTGTTCCCGAGTTAGTCGGTAGTGTCATTGTCGAAAACGCGGGAAGTGGGAACAAACGTAGTCGTGTAGGGTGTTCCGAATATTGTGGCTCGGTGAAAAGTAGTTCTCGCCGCCTGTGGTAGCACGGCTGGCAAAAGTAGGCAAACATGGCGTTTTGATCGAACTGACAACAAGACGAGATCGATTATTGGGCGCTTCGGGTCGCGGCGGGACTAATGATATCCCGATGCGTGATTCGCTTGGCGATTGAACGCGGCGATGTTTGTCACGTCGCTTCTTCCCCGCTCGTCCTTTCACCCCGGCGGCGAGCTTGGGAAGCTTGGCAAAGGTTGCTCGTCCCCGCTTCAGACCAGTACGTGTCGTCTGCCAGTTAGGCCGTCCCGTAGCTGAGCGCGGCCGTGTCTTCTTGTTCGGTGTATCAAATCCGCGGTTGTCGCCGTCTGCTGAAGTTTTGGAACAGTTTTCGTTCCTCGCATAAAATTAGCTGGAGTCGTCGTCTGCTGAAGAGCGAAAGTTTAGCCATTTTCGTTCACCGCGTCAGGTCCGCAGTTGTTCGTTGTGTCAGCCATTCATTCATTAGCGATGTAGAGGGGAATCGGGACAGAAGAGATCCGCAGTTGTCGTCGTCTGCGAAAGTTTGCCTATTTTCGATCACTGCGTCAAATCCTTGGTTGTCTGCTAGTTCCGTCGTCTCGCGGCTGGGCGCGGCCATCTTTACCAAGCCTGGAAAGTTGGGCACTTTTCGCTCATCGCGTCAGATCCGCGGTTGTCGTCTGCTACTTCAGTCGCGGCGCTGCTGGGCGCTTTCATCTCTTTTCTTTTCTTTTTTTTTCCCCCTCCCTCTCCGTGTTATCATTTTTCGTTGCGGGGTTTCTCCCATCTCTTCTTGCTTTCGCTTTCACTGTAGTACTTTTTGCTTCCGTTTTATTTCTTATTTTTTTTGGTGCCGACACTTTCTCCGTCCCCGAAGAGATATTTGTCGTCGTCTGGAGGCTTGGTGTTCTCGTCGGGCCTTGGCTGCTCGTCTTTGCCGACGCAGTTTCTCGCGCCGTTCAGCTTACGAATCACGTGGCCACAGAGTACCGCTCGGTTTTGTGGAACATTTCGAGCGGGCTTTGGCGATTCTGGGGCTGTCTGTCACGACCGCACTCGAAAGTTAAAGCGGATAAAAGGATGTAAGTCCTGCTGTTGGCCTGTCATTTTTGATTCGTGTGAATTTTGAGCAGTGCGGTGATTTAGGGGTTAGAGAAGGCAGGCTAGACAACTTGATGATCGCCATTTTATTGCCGTTGTTTACAATGGGGTAGCTTTCCTAATTTCTTTTTCTACGCGGGCTATTAAGATATGTTTTCTTCGAGCTTTGATTTCGAGATTATTATTATTTTTTTTTTTAAATAACAGTCTCAGATAAAAAAGAAGAAAGAAAAATAAGGCGGGAAGAGAGGTTTGCTACACTGAGCGTCTGTGGCTCGCGAGCACGCTCACGAGTGACTCTAGTTGGCAGCGGTAAGCTTCGAACGATGATATGTCATCGGTAGTTTGCTCGCGGTGACCACTCTTTGCGAGTGATCGCACTTCGACAACCTGAGGCTTTACATTGTTGAAGCGCCGTTGGAAGATACAAACGCCGAGCGACGTCGTCTCTCAACGTTCAGCAGGAAAGTTTTTTTTTTTTTTTTTTCTCTAAGGCTCTTTGACTGCTCTTGCTGTCGTCGTATTTATCACACTGAAGTTTCATAAACATGGAATCCGTCAGGTTGTCACAGCTACTCAAAGACGGCGCCAGATACACTCGGGTCTGCTGAATCTGCTTTCGGCTGTTCACATCAAAAGAAGCTTTCACGTTTTTGCTTCACGTTGCGCCATCTGTGTGTAGCAGCGTCAACTAGACAGTCTTTCCGATCTTCTTCCCCTGTGTGCATAAGAAAGACGAGGCATCTTGTGGCTAAGGCGTTTCTCCACAAAACTTACACCCATGAAATTTGGGTTTATAAATGTACCACCCGAAAACACTTTTTTTAAACGTTTTTTTTTTTTTTTTTTTACCCAAGAGTGAAAAAAAAAAAAAGAGGGAAAAACGAGCCTTCGGACATTTTCGACGTTTTTTGTGCCACCTTGTATAATTCTTTTTTTTTTTCGGAGTCATTCGTGCGAATACCAAAACATATGCTAGATCGTCGCCGGCTTATCGTTGCAGATAAAACAGTTGTTCCACTCGCACGAGAGGAGATACATTTGCGTGAGATTGTCGCTCGACCGTTAGCAAGCTCCACGGATAAAATAGCTCTCTCCCTCGCTCCCTAATAAGTGGCCTTTATCGCCGGGGTTTCGAGAAGAGATTAACCGTCCGAAGAACTTCGCTTTCTCGCTCTTGCGCTCGTGGGGGCGCCTTGTTCAAATATCGACAACGGGTAGTCCGGCTGGCCGACCCAAATCCGAATGATTTAAACGAGTCAAGGTTCGGTTCAAGTCGGTTTAATATAAATAAAACTATATATGCACAATATCACGTCCTCCCTCGTGTAGTTATGGTCCTCGTAATAGTCCGCCGTCTTTGATCACGCGTAACTCTCGTATTTCGTTTTTTTTTTTTTTCCTTTTTATTGTATACGTGGTTGGCATGTGACGTCGGTCCGTCCCTCTTTCTGGTTGCCGGAAGTGCCTCGTTAACGCAGCGGAAGCAACGCTCTCCTGCGTGAACATAATAAACCACGCCGTGCGTTTCTTAGGTTATCGCGGACAGCTCGCCTCGTGATTGGTTCATTAGCATTCTTATCGGCCAATGCCGCATTCCCATTGGCTGCGAAGCGATAATGAGATGCTTGAAGGGAGCGCTCGCCACGCCCTGCGTTATTAGGTTGTCGGCGACTGTACATGGCAGATTAGGGAGTTGTAGTAAATTGTTTTTCTCCTCCGCTACGGCATCTGCAAAGAAAACGCCGCTGCTGCGCATGCGCGTCGCCAGCCTTGTCTGCTTAGTTCAAGGTCTTGTGGCGGATTACGGAGCGCTATCCGGGTGCTTAGCGGGCTGCGGACACGTTCTGCTACTAAACGGTTCCCTAAAAGTCCCTACTACCGGTGTCTCCGATAACGGTGCCCGATAACGATACGATGCACGCGCAGTGGCGTCAGTGGAGTGTCTGATGTCGTTATCGGACTCGTCCGAACGATCTACTGCTAAGGCTCCCTAACGTGTCGGTAAGTTATTCAGAACGCACGTTTTGGTGGATTGGATACCGAGAGGCCGATTCTGTCGAAACTTCGCCTGCCGGGTTTGCCTTGTCGTAACATTTTGAAATGCTGGACTCCGTGGTTTAGATTATTATGTGATATAAATAATTTTTGTATAGAACATAACGACTTTCGCCGTACAAATAGAAAAAAAAAATATATCGCATATTAGCAAGCGATATACGAACTGTTGTCAGTCAAATCTAAGTAATTAATCGGTAGCCTCCCGATATCGAAAAAAAAAACGCGCACTCCTGCGTATGCGGAGTAGGAAGTTTTAGCAGATTGTCTTTGGACTGAAATAACGTACCGATAAAGATCAATCTGTCGAGGGGACCCCAAAAAAATGTCTGCTAATCTAAAATATCTACCGGCGATATTCACTTTGTTCGCTCATTTTTCTCTTTTTTTCAACGATGGAAGTGTTAGAGATAGTAAGATCTAGCACGCGCGAAATCCCACTTTTAAAGCGGTTCTTCAGTCGGGAGAATAGAAAAAGGGGAAAGCCGGCGATTTCGTGTTTCCGCTGCCGCGCTTTGTGCGTCCCGTGTATACCACGGGGTTCACCGCTTGTTTCAACATATTTCAGTAGTTGGAGGTGGCCGTACTGTGCCGGTTCCCCATCGCATGAGCCAATGGCTACGTTCACATGGATGCGACAACAGCGCATCGGATCCACTTCAACCACTAAGTTTACATGGATTCGGATCGACCAGCAGCGGCACCTCGCGTCGAAGGATCACAACGCAAACCTCGTGACCTTCAGATTGTTTTCGATGTGTCCGGTTTGCCTAGCGGCAGGCGAAGCAAAGCTCCCATAATCCCTCGCTCGAGCACTCGATTCGATCCGCTAGCGTAGACATGGAGAGTCTCGATTCGGATTGACCATCTCAAACCACCCCGTCCCAGTGGATCGGATTGGATCCGATCCGATCCGATCCGAGTTGTTTATTACGGACCGATTCGATTCGTTAACTGGATCCGATGCGCTACAGTCGCATCCATGTAAACGTAGCCAATGACGTTTTAGCGAACAGCGGTCATTTGAGCAAATTAGCGAATGACGTATCACATGGGGCACGCGTTAAACCCACACGCCCCCCTTCGTTCACGCCGCTTAGCAGCGACAATCTGCGGTGGCTCATTACAAAAACGTTGACCCACCTGGCCCATCCGTACGCCATTCGCTGAAGTGTCTTTCGATGAAAAGTTGGGTGCGAGGGACTTTGTTCGCTAAAACGTCGCTAGACCAACTGAGTGCCACCCACTGTGCCGCTCCCGTTTCCCTTTTTTTCGGAATGAAGGCAACATTGGTGTGAGTTAGTCTTACGACTAAAGAAAGAAGTGAATTCATGGCGGCTGTTCCGCCATGCATTTATAGTGCTTGGTC